AGGTCACTGTCATCAAGAGACATCCTTTGGAACGCTGCCTCATGGTAGAAACTGTATGTTATGCGCCAAAAGTGAAACCGATATGGTTCAATATAGGGAGGGATCGTATCGACGGTGGCCTCGAGGTGGTGATATAGTGATTATATATAGATGGCCTCGGTTGATGGTCGTTTCCTGGCACAAGCTAAAATTGGCAAGATACATATGTGACAAGGCCATTCAAGGTCTTGTCTGCGAGGGGTACACTCAGGGCGGAAAAGCCAGAAGGTGGCACGTTGATTTGTCCTTCGCGAGAGGCCTTCGGGCTTCAGACTTGTCCAAGAACGTCTTCTACCATGATGTTAAGGCATTGGAATAGGATCATTTGTCTTTCAAGGACAAATTCGCCAATCGACTGAGCCCGATGTTTTGATCCAGACCGAATAGGTCAATGATCGGTGGAAGCCTCTCAGGCCAGAAAGTCGCTATATGTTGATCGTGGTTACTATGCTCATCTGGCTGGAGAGACCAACTATATATACTGCCCGATCATCCGGAGCCTCAGAGTTTGAACGCCGTCGACAATAGCTTTGTCGCTTTCGTCATCGGGAAACTTGTCGATAGTGTGGGCTTCCATGACCGACTTGTGACGTCCCGGCTGCACTTACCTCTGGCAGGAAAAGGAGATTCCCTCACCACCCATTGGGCACAGCATCTCCCAAATACATGTCCGCATGGTAGGATCACTGTCTCATGCGTGGCTTCTTCAACTGTCCTCGGTATCCCCTAGGAGAACTCATCTCCTCATGGCGGAAGAACACCAAAGCCCAGCTGGTAGTCTGGAGCATTCAGTTCCCAATGGATCCAGTCGACTGCTACCCATTGGGTGCGTGGGACTGAAACCGAAGGATTCTTATGAAGGCATGCCAAGGATTTGTTGATGTATTCCTGGCGCATTTCGAGGAAAGCTGCCTTTGTAGTTCTATATAGGCTGTTGAACCAGGGTATACACAAGTGGCTCGACTTGGAATTTGTCCTGGCCGACGCACACAACATTACGTCGGGGAAAAGCTCGAAAGTCTATGTACCCTTTCAGCAGGCGAGGCAACGTAATCCTTTCTTCATAGCTGTTGTCCTTTTTGGTGGTTGCCATTAGGGAAACCCTTGAGAGAGTCTGTGTCACTCAGAAACTGCGTGGTATGCTCGACTCAATAGCATACTCGGCCATGAAGAGTTATTTCGGCCTCAAGAACGTGTGTCGGGCCCATGGCTTGTTTCATATAGAGAGCAACCTCATCCCCGAGCGTCGCGGTGAATCTTGGTTCTCTAACGTCTTCTCCAGCGCTTTGGTGCTCCGCGTTGGCCACGTCTCCGGTGTTTGGGCTGTAGGTCATAGATGGTGCCTGACTATATATATCACAGTCCACTTCCAAGCCTGTTCGAAGGATCCGGCTTGGATCTTTGGTCGAAGTCGTGATCATCTCCATGAGAGTGATTTGTGCCACAGCCCCCCAGGTGAAAGCGGCCGGAAGGCGATGCTCTAGACACTCATCGGTTGAGTGGCCAATTTCTGACGCTGGCGGGATATTTCCATGTCGTGGTGTATATAAATATATCCTGAACCCATGCATGACTGAATATTGCTTGTTACGTTCCTCAACTCTGCCTTTGGGTTGTGGCAAGACAGATAGGGCCAGGTCAACAGCTTCAACCTTCTTCAAGTTGTCGGACAAGAGAACTCAGAAAGGCTGCGAGTGAAACTAATAGCATGTCTGAGAGTTTGAGGGACTTGTAAACGTATATATCATCGAGTTTTCCACGCTGAAGAGTCCGCTTGTTTCGCGGTACCCAATCCTGTGTGTGTCGATGCTCCATGGGCAGACGACCTGGGAAAGCCTACAACATGGCTCGCATTCTTTCCGGGTTATCACCCGAACCTGTACAGCATAGTGATGCGGGTTTCTGTCGACTTAAGAGAGCGTAAGATTATTTTTATTGACCGGTAGATTATAATTCAGCCAATCGTTCCTTGTTGTGTATTAAGGAATGTCTGATACTGTCGAATGGTTTGTTCGTTCCGAGCCAGAGATGACTCGATCATGGTGGATTGTCGTTCAAGAATCGCGTTTTGGTGTTCGAAAAATCTTTCCAAGGCAGCATCCCTTCGCGTACTGGCAGACGTGCGAGAGTGTAAGGGAGGTCAACACTAGGCTCCATGGGCCGAGGTTTCGAGAGCGCGAACAGCTTCTGGCCTGGCTCTTCCTTTGGAAAAGATATATACAAGTGTGTATATATAAGGGGACTGGGGTCCGGCCCTGGCGTCGTTGGTGAGGGAATGGATGCGATGGAGGGGCGAGGTGAGAGGACGAGGAGAAGAGTGCCCTTTTAATATCCATTATCACGTGAGCTTTACAGCTTTCAGAAGTGGTTCCGTTGTTCAATCAGTTCAAAAAGCATAGTAGCAACATAAAGCTTTGCTTCTGCTTCCTCACCTGCGCTGGCTGGCTCATACTGTTGGTTGGAATGAGGTGCAAACACTTGCTTGACAAACCACACTGTTCCTATATTTTTGTCTTGTATATCATTGCTAAAAAGCATCTTGACGAGAAAATTATGTCTCACAAACCATCAATGTCCATGTCAGATTGAACCCCCCGTGTCACTGTTGAGGGGGCGATGGTCCAAACACGGTAGTCAACGGACATCGTTCGCGAGACAAGTGCAAATATAGACGTAGGGAACTAAAGCAAACTTTGCAGGTGCTTTGTGTTATATCGCCATCTGCTGTGTTGGGCGTGCCTGAAATACCCACCAGCCATCTCTCACACTCGACCTCGCAGTGGACAGTTCAAGATATAGGCTGCATTAAATTCAAGACACGATAACAACGGCAACGTGTGCTTAAGTGCTCATAAGTATAGGCTCAAGTACGTGCCTGTTGAGAAAGAGTTTTAATTAAAATATATATATTAGCTCAGAGTGTCGCGAGTCGGGCATGAATGCAGAGTGTCTAAACGAACACTGGTAACTCTAGGGAGGACGATCACCAGGAAAAGCTTCATCTACACCTAGATGAAGGGCAAGCCGCGACATATCTCGCTTCTCTCATTTAAATTAGTTGAAACTCCTGGTAAAGTATTTATTGACCGCTGCCGTACGAAACCTGCGGGCAGATAGACCAGTTCTGAGGCCAATTCGGGTGGCATGTAATCATCTCTTACCCATGCTCCCTGATAGACCACTATGGCGAAGTATAATTAAACACAAGTCTCTCATGCGCGGTCTATTTCCATCTTCAGGCTAAGTATCTATAAATATCACGAACCTCATTACCCTCGAGCCATTTAGGACAGGTGATGTGATACACACGAGCAGAAGGATCTACGGGATGTTTCCTTTCACATACAGGCAAAAAGTGTGTATCCATGCCATGTAGAAATTCAGTCACTCGTTATTGGATATACAGTCACGCAAGTTGCTGGATAATAGTAGGTGGGTTCCCTCCTACCCGTATCAAGGCGCCGCCAGGACACAGCTCGCAGAACAAGACATCAGTATTATATTCACCGACCGACCTCAAAGCATTCCAAACTTCTGAAAGCCTTAAGGACCAATAAAGAGTTTTTTTTGGGTTCCCCACGCCGAAGCCCCTTTTCTTCTCTGAGGGCTTCAGTGGGTGGTATGCTGCGACCCCCAACACATAATTAAACTAGCACCTGAGCCGAGACCGAATAGATTCAGTGGATGAATATGTGGGCTTTAGGTCTTGATTTAATATGGGATGAACTTGCTGCTGACGCGGAATTGGTTGAATATGCAGCTAGTGCTATTGCCAGGGATACCAGCACATGATATCAGCCACGTCAGGGGGCAAGGAAAAGAATTGAACTCGTGTTGTATATTTGGTTGAGAATAATGTGTCGGTATTGCCGTCGTGTCAAAATAAGTAAAGCTCCATTTCTGCTCAGTCGTAAGTGGCCTTATGAGTCCTCGGCGGTAGATTGTCCGTGAATGACACGGTCGCGCACTCTTATGTCCGAAACAACGCGACACAACGTGATATTCCCGTCAAATGCTTCTCCAAGATTTTAACGGGTTTACAGAATCTAATAAATCCGATAGTCTAGATGATCAGAGCTTATCTAGATGATAAGCATCGCGCAACGGCCCAAGGGGATATTTCCGCCGGACTAAACACGCGTTGAAGTCCTCTTTTCCCCAACACCGCGTAGCAAACTGCGGGGGAAACGCGTGTTGTTGGTTTCATTGTGGATCTGACATTCGGAGTTATCAAGAGATGTTGGCAGGTTCGCTTATCTTGTGTTGGCAGCAAAGAGGCAAATACGGCACACCAGGCAAACCTGAATCTGATGCTTTCTGCGTCACCAATATCTCTCCCCCGCCTTTTTTCCAAGATCAGGATCCCATGGGAAAGAGACAAGATGTTGGGTTGCGGATCCGGGGCAGACGGGGATAGTCCTTGCGCGTCGCATGCCCAAAGCGGCCAACCCCGATCCCAAGGTTCAGGGGGGTGGTTGAGCTTCGTTTCTGTGCGGGGAAGAATGGCCAGTTTGCAGCCCATACAAACACGAAGCCGGGGATCCGGAGGAGGAGATCTGCAGATGCCAACCGCCTTGAGCGCCCGCAGCGTCGAGCATTGAGTGTGTGTTGCCTTGAAGGATTGGGGTTTGCGTATACAATTCTTCTTGTCCAGTCGTGTTGACACCCAAAACAAGTTGCTTGCCCCCCTACGTTCTCGAAGCTCGTAAGCGATGGGTGCAACCTGCATGCACAAGCTAGCAACAAATGGGGGACGGCCTGGACCGCCCAACACGTGTTGCAACGAGGTTGATGCTTGCTGTACAAAGCATCTCTGGGCGCATTGGCTTTGTGTCGAGCGTTGTTGGTTCAATCTGTTCATCCCGTGTGTACATCTCGGTCTCTCACCTCCGCTAGACAAATGGATATTCCACACCAAGAAGAGAATAGTAATTAGAGCAAACACATCTGGGGACGTCCCTGATGTCGACTAGATTTTGTCCGCTGCAAGTAAAAGCTACATTGGTCAATACCAAGTATCCGATAATCAAATATAGTTCAAACAGAAGCTCGCTAATGCCTCTTATTTCCCCAAGAGGCCCGAGATTCCAACAATAAACCACCCAATCCAACCGTTGACTGGAGCAACGCCTTCGACAACGCCACAAGGAAACAGGCTCTCGTTGAGCCTCCCTTCACCTCCTTTTCATCTTCTTCAGAGTGTAGTGGAATTAAGCCTGGCGCTCCTTCTCGCTCTTGCCCTTGATGACGGTAGACAGGTCACCGACGGGGATCTGGATGGGGAAGTCGACGATGGCGAAGAGGACGGCGATGAGGATGTACCAGCCAGACATGCAGGTGACGAAACCACAAGCACCACCAGCCTATGACAAGTTAGTTATATACACTCTATACACAGCAACAGGAACACATACAATAGTCAGCTTCTGAGCAAGCTTGGCCTTGCCAGTAAAGTCCTGAGCCAGAGTCCAGAAAGCAGCAGTCAGGAGCATGAAGCAGAACCACAGGCTGAAGAAGATGGCGACAAAGACAAGGTTGGTGCGGAGCGAGCAGATGAGGAAGACAAAGGTCAAGACACCCATGAACAGCAGCCAGAAACCTATAACTCTAGTCAGCTTTACCACTCGATAACCGTTTGATTTATGTAGAAGCTTACCGAGACTAGCGTTGAAGCCCGTGGTGGTGAGACCCTCGGCGGCAGACTCAGCATCGGCGGGGGCATACGCGGCGTAGGTGCCAAAGGCAGGGATGAGGGTACCGCCGTAGGAGAACCAGAAGCCACCGAAGGAGCAGAAGACGCAGGCGGGGAAGCTGTTTCCGAGAACCCACTCGAGGATACCGCCGACGAGCATGAGGAGACCACCCATGAAGACGTAGACGGCGCTGATGTTGTTGTTAGTATGGTATATAGGAGAGGTGGAGGTGTGAGGCTCACTTGTCGGAAGCACCGCTGCCGCCGGCGCCTCGCCAGCCCATGAGACAGCAGGTCAGGGGAGTGAAGGCGAGAAGGAAGCCAACAAGGGCGCTATATCTTTGTCAGTGACTCTGAAGCTATACTGGGAGCTCGAGTGGGCGTACATGGGAGTAGGGTTGCCAAAGGTCTGTCGAAGGTTTCCCTTGACCTCATTCATGGGGGAGAGGTAGAGCTTCTCGAACAGCTCAGGGCTCATCTGGACGCTGGCGGCAGAGCGGAACTGCTTGAGGGCATCCATGCGCTGGGCCTCGGGGTCATAGTTGCCGTTCATGCCGTTGTGCTTCTCGTGGAGCTGCTCGGTGTGCTCGGTGGTGGCCATTGTGGTGATGGTATCCAGAGTGATGGATGGACCTCTCGTGGGTGAGGAAAAGGGAGGAGGATAAAGGGGGAGGCGTCAAGAATCGATTTCCTCTTGGATGGGGATGGGTATCTTGATGTTGCTCTAGAAGAAGAAGAAGAAAGTTGATGAAACCAGTCAATGTCGAGACTCAATTCGAGAATGTCAAGAAGGAGGAACGAGGTGAACCCCAGACTTATATCAGGCCATTGGCATCTGCAAGAAGAAAAAAGACCTTCCAAGGACCAGGTCCCCCAGATTGGCACGGAACAAGGGGCGCCACCCTTTGATCCGGTCTCCCCCCCATGCATTAGCAGGCCAGTCTCACTGACTCTCTGTCTGCTTTTTCCCCAGTTCTCATGGTGGTACCAAGAAAAGACTAAGCCAGATCTCCACCACTAGGGGAAGAGGAGCCAAGACGATCTCTTGTCTGTCTCCTCTCCACAAGCGCCGGATGTCCGTTCAGGCGCGCTGTAACCATACAGCTTTTGCTACAAGGTGGCGCCGCCGGTCCATCCGTAACGAGTCAAGGGCAGCATGTGCCGGCCTGAGCCCAGTGTCTAGGATTCATCAGGGCAACGGACAGGGGGATACAGACTAGCGATCTTCTCCATGAAAGGTACGTATAGAGTGTGTGGACCAACGCTGGTTGCGGGGGACGAACACTAGTCAAAAGTTGGAGTCCCCAGGAAATTCCCCACACGATCCCTTCGCCCGACGAGGATTCGACCAAGCAGAGGAGACAAAACAGCCCTAAAGCCTCACCGTCGTTCTGGATGCGGAGGGGGGATTGAGTGCATGGGGCCCCAGGAATGGGCGTTGTTGGGGATCGAGAAGGGGAAGAAGACACCAAAGGCGGAATCCATCCTCCGGCCAACCGAGAGCCTGGTCGTCTACACTACGCGCCGTTGACGGAGCTTTTTTCTGTGAGGGGATGGACAGTGTGGAGGGCATGGGGACAAGCATTCTAGACGTGGAGGAGGCCAAGAGAGAAAGACGCTTGCTTGGTGAAGCAGCTGACCTCAAAGCATGACCCCTTCAACAGCTCTGGATCAAAGGGGGGCTACATCTGGGGAAGAGGATCTCTAGAGTAAAGACCAACCCCATGTTTTTCTTGGATCTGTTGATCGGGGCCCCGGACTGATGCCAATTCCCCGGGCTCTTGATGTGGACATGGTGTTCCGTGGTCATGGTTGGCTCTCAACCAGAAGCAAACCTTCGGATCCGCATCTCGTTTTGTGGATATACAGTACATTCACACTCAAAAGTGTGTACGACGTGGCAGAGCTTCTCTCTCTTGGAAAGATGTGCGTTGATGGGTCGATCATGGCGCGTGCCGGTTGCAGATTGATATGGGTAGCATTTTGCGTAACGTTATGTACAGCCTCTCCAAGAAAGCCCAGAGCCTTCAATACGCCCGCCTATAAATGAGATGCCAAGCCAAGACTGCACTTTACGTACTGGAAATGCACCTTCTCCAAATTCTCGACGGCCCGTTTTAGCAAGGCATGCCAGGGTGTCTTTGTTTCTCCTTGAGCCCAGCTAGTCAACCTTTTTTCTCTATCAATACGAGAACTCTTCTGTTTGTTAGTTCAGTTTCTATCAAGAAACAAGTCTGTTCCCGTTCTGGAAACCCCATGACTTCACAATGAAGATCATGTCCATCTTTCAACAACATCCTCAACTCCCTTTTCCCCATGCTTTTCACTCAACCCCCTGCAAAACAGCCTAATGCACCAAGTGAGATGAGGGGAAAAAAAGAACCACCGTACATTAGCTTGCGGCTCCGAAGCACCCGCTAGTATCCGCCAAAACGCGGCTCCGCCTTTTAGCACTGCAACCGGGGGAATGCATGCATGAGGATGACAACCAATAAGGTGCTGGTTCGGTACTTGCTTCTCCAAGGTCGGAGTAAAGAAGGACCGAGTCTCATCAAGGGTCTGTCAAGCCGTCATGGATATTCGAGATGAGCATGTTGACCATCGGAACTCGATGAGAAGATGAACAGTTTAATCGCAATTTAACGCCCTCATCGTAATCATAATTGTTCAATGTCTTGTTATTCACCTCAAGTTGAAAGAAACAATGAGAAATTGGCTTGTTTTCCGTTTCTGACGTTGCTGTTTCTGGACCTGACTTACACGTCAATGTTGTCATGATGAGTAGACGACTCTATCAACGACGTCACGAACAGAGACAGTAGAAAGCCTTTTGAACATTCATTCATGTCTAATTATTCTATCTGCTAAATCTTACAGTTCCAACAATTCTAATAATTCTATAACCTCACATATTCTACAATCATGAAGCAGGTCTTTGGCGCAAGCCAGCAACGTTCCGCCGCCGTCCCCATCGGCGCAGGAGTAGCCCTCCTCGGCGCCGGCATTTACTACAAGTCCAGGAGCAAACCCCAAGTCAGCGAGGAGCAGGCGCGCAGGGACCGAGCCCAGGCCAAGAGGGACGAGGGCCTCTCGGGCGCAGGCATCGGGGGTAACGCTGTAACTGGCGGCCACGAGCTGAGCCACGTCAACCCCCAGAGGAGTGAAGGGTCTACCGCGCCCCTGGAGAAGCTTCCCAGCGGGGGAGTAGGCGGGGGCGTCGGCGCCGGAGGTTCAAACGTCCGCTCCTCCATCGAGATGACGGCCAAACCGCGCGAGGGCGTGTCGCCGAGCGGTGCATCCGGCAGTGCCATCCTGGGCAGCATATTTGGTACGGGGGCAACTGCAGAGTCTGGTACCGGAGATGAGACCAAGGACACGCGGGTGGCGAGCAACTATGACGGGACGCCCACGAGGAGAAACGCGACGCACCACGATCAGCACCAGCCTCGAGTGCCCAAGTCCGGCAACGCCGCCGGTAGTCAGGGGGATGACAACAGTGGTCAAGACACCAAAAGCGGACAGAGCTTGTCACAGACTTTGCAGGGAGTCATGGGCCAAGGAGGAAAGAGAGCTGGTGAGCAGGGTGATCAGAACGCTGACTTTCGCAACACCAAGATTGCGAGCAACCACGCTGAGACGCCGACCAAGAGAGCAGCCTAGGGGTGATGGCCTTGATGCCTTGTACGAGATGCAAAAGCAAACAAGATTGAACAGAGAGTTGTCCAAAGCTGTTAATCTCCTCTTGTCCAAGGATGTCCGAGATTAGATGTGCCTCGAGTGAAACAGCACCACGCGTGAAGCTAAAGTCATTTGTTGAGTTCTGTACTCTCGGTCTTACTGGAGCAATCCTCAGCTCAGCAGAACGGAGATCAATCTCCCCTTGGGACGCCATAGTGTGTTGAGCTGACGGGGGATCCTCCTAGCAACTTCTCACGAGTAGTGTTGCATTCCCAGGTTTTTGCTAGATCTCATCCGTGCATCTACCCCCTTGAATCCAAGATTCAAAGAAAGACTCGACAGAGATCCAAGATGTGCTGACAAGAGATTCGACTGTGATGTGTCAGTTGGTTCCCTCGAGCCAATCGACTCTCTGCCCAGCTTGGCCTCCATGTCTCCGGCCACTACCCCAGAATCTCTCTCCCCCTTGTCCCGCTGCAAGATCTGCGTGTTCGGTCAACCCCCGGATTTTGTGACAGTTTCTTTCTTTCTCCGCTTAGTATTGTTGGGGATCAGACGTGCTGTAGCTCTCGCCTCGTCAACCACCATTTCCCCGGATACTTTTGCTCCACGCTCTGCGGGTACGTCCAAAAGACCAAGATGGCGGCAGTCTTGCTCAGAACCCGTTGCACCGGCGACTGGCCCGGTCGGTGGCGTCGCCAGAGTTTGTACTCGGACATAAGGACTGTATTGCCAAGGACGTTGACGACGCGGAACATGCTGCTCAAGTGTTGGTACTCTCTTCACACAAGTTTACACTTTGACTTACATGTTGCTGACGACGAAAAAGATGGTTGCGACCTCAGCTGGGGACATCCTCCCTGGTCTGTTCTGAGCACTCCCAAGTATCGTGAGCAAGGGAGGAATCCAGAGTCCTAGGATTCCAAGCTCTAGTATCAAAGCCCAGTGGTATGTCCTCAGCTCTACGTTTCTCAACAGCGTCAGGCAGAATACCCAAGACGCCATAAAGAAGTTGACCTACTCCCGTCAGCACAACCTCTTGAAACAGAAGAAACCTACTTACAATCGTAGGCGCCAGAACCAACTTCTCCTTGTTATAATACCCCCAGCACAGCGCCGACCCTATAATCGTCACGAAAGCCTGCGCTATCCCCACGAGGAAAAAGTAAAAGAGCATCCAGTGAAACCTCCTGTAGCAGGCGCGGTGAAACTCTGGTTCGTTCCACGCTGCCCCGGACGTGACGGGATACCCGCAGTACCGGCACACCCAGACGCTCGCCCACGTCCCAAGGGTGTACCTGCGTCCGACCATGAAGCCTCCCCTCGCGGCGACGCAGTCGAGGCACTCGCTGGCCAAGGGATACCGGGCGTCCGACTCGTCGGCCCGGATCAGCGTATCCCTGAGGGGGTCGTAGCAGAGGCACCGGTAGCAAGTCGACAAGAGTTCAAACTTGATGCCTGGAAACACCTCGCGGATAACGGGCTTGCTAATGCGGCCTCGGAGGGCCCGGCACGTCCGTCGCAGAGACTCAACCTGTCCAAAGGTGAGTTGCTCCATAATCATCATATGGAGTTCCGTCGGGAGCTTGACGAGGCCGTTGTTGGTATTGGCGACTGTCCACCGATGCGACAGATCCTCAGTTGCTGCATGTCCAATAACCCTCTTCTCGGGTTTTGTTGAGTCGGACCCCAGCGCAGCCTCGTCGTCGATAAGCACCGCGTCCCCAAATAACTGTTGACGTATTCGATGTAGTGTCCTAAAAGACGGCATTGTAGATAATTCAAAACCTCGGTAGTTGTCCATGATTGCAGAAAAACAACAAAAAGCCGAGAGTAAAGTGGTCGTTATATCAAGAGCAGAGACTCTCTTGGCTTTCCCTCACGGGGCCTCATCTTGTATAGCCCAACCAACAAATCATACGAGATCCCTGTTGAGGCTCGCAAAAAAATAAAAATAAAAATCAATTGAACCTCGGGATGACGAAATGCTTCCCAGGTACACGGAAATGGCAAAATGTATGGTCAAACATCCAACGCAGGCACAGTCAGATGATCATTATCCAATGGGGACATGTCAAAGTGGTGTTGGAATTCGCTGGCAGGACCCGGGACCCATTTTGACCCTCACTGACGGGGGAAGCTTATTACTTTCTAAGGAACTGCCAAGAAGCATGTGCAAGTAGAGGCTGAAACGACTTCACGTGGGAGAAATAAAGCGGTCAAATTGGTTGAGCGGGCTTGGACCTGCGAAAGATACGAACGAGGCAAAATCTCCGACGGAGAGTTGACCAAAAGGGGGTGTTCAATGCGCTTCTAGACCTGGACCCAATTGCCACGCGGCTCTCAGGCTGACTCGCTGACATGTAGGGTAAGGCTGACTGCTTGATTCAGAACGAGGTTGGACCCTGAATATTGTAAAAGGAATAAAAGAGGAAGATGCGTCTGCATAGTAAGCCCTCGGTCCGAATATACGTTGTCGTTGGTGAAGACGCTGTGATGGAGTCGTTGTTAAGGGGGAGATTGGAAATATCGTTACCCGGCACATGACTGAATCACTCACTAATAAACACCGTGATGCAACTTACGATGATTCGTAACATGACATTTTAAAAAGACGAGATAAGGATATTAAAACGGATACGATTTCACTCTCTGCACGAGGCCAATCAGGCAATTTCATCTCGCCTTCAGCCCTACGAATAAGCATAATTCCGTCACCTGTTTATGTACTGATTTTCTGTTTAAGCATTGCCTTGACAACCTGAATTCACATGTCAAACTTCTACTTGACAGGGGAACAAGACTCTTCCAGAAAATACATCCTAGCTTGTCCAAACTCCGAAAAACAGAACATTCCCACTGTAAATCATCGCTCTTCCATGAATAAGTCTCTTTCATCGTAGCGGAAGCGTCATCCGCTTACCGCCTCGTCCACCTCGTCCAACACCGACAAATCCCCCACCAGAGCTAGCATCCATCTTCCTAGCCAGATTGTTCAACTCCTTAAGAAGACAACAAGCCGCCACCACGCGGAAACTCTGCAGCTCACCAGTCCCGTGATACACAAGCGGAGCATCTTCCTTTTTGATACAGGCAACGGCGACGCAAGCCCAGCAGAGCTCCACCGCGTCCTCTCTCCACCGGTTCGGAGCCGCCGCGGTAGATGCCTCGGTAGCTGTGCTGAGGGTCTCGGCGTCGTTACCAACGCCACGGTCGCGGATTAGCTTGACGATCCACGTCATGATGCGGTCGATTTCCTCCTTTAGCTTGATGGATGAATCGCGTTGGCGTCGCGTTTGTCCACCTTTTTTGTTCAAGATGAATCCGCAAAACACTTCAACCTCGGATAGACCTGAGCGCGCATTCTCTGAGAAGCGCCACATGTTGTCCGAAATAGTCGAGTCATAGCTAGCGAGTTAGTTAGTATGGCTCGTTTCAAGGTGCGTACTCACGACTTACACGTTGCGAATATTCCAAGCCTCCTCAGTCCTGCGTTTCCAATCGATATCGAGCTTGTACTTGACAATCTCGTTCTCGACAATGGTTAGTAGCTGATCCCAAACCGATGGTCCACCCGTTTCAATCTTGCGATGAATATTCTCATGCCAGATTTTATTCTCATCAACGCTCCGGTATAGATGACCGAGAATCTTTGTCGACTTGTAGTACTTTGGTTTTGCTCGAGCCATCATGTCATCCTCGTCGTACTCCTCGGGATCTCCAATATGATCAATCTGGCCGAGGTCATACAGCTTCAATGGTGGCGCCATCGCCAGACTGGTGTCCTAGTTAGCAGGTATACTAATCGCTTCAACACTAACTTACAAATCGGGCCGAAAGCGCGGTGGCTTTGGCAACTTCTTGACCTCCACTGGAATACCCGTCTTTGAGAAGTCAACAGCTGTAGAGTGCATCTCTGCCAGTGAAATACACTCTGGATGAAGCGTTCCCAAGTCGTGAGAGTCGGCCAGCATGACATGGCGTGTCGCAATCATACCCAAGATGTCGGTTCTCATGAAATTGATAAAGAAATCGGCAATGTCCTTGGGAGTTACTGGGCGATCCAATGGCACAGGCGTGACTCGTGGATAGTCGGCTGGCTCAAAGACCTTCTCTGGCATGGCCCGCTCATCCCAGATGATGTTGTACAAATCTCCATCGAGGTCGCCTCCGCTCAGTTGACTCGGTAGATCGCGATCGCCTTTTTGACTGAAAACAATGCAGTTTTGGAGATTCCTGAGGGGATGTCCTTTGGGAGGTGTCACCATCTCGGCGACTTGGATATCTCCTGGGTGTAGAGCTGGCGAGCGAGTGACCAAGATGATTCCATCCTCAAGCGTAGCGTTAATACGCCTGCCATTCTTCACACCATACGTCTTGTCGTACGTGACATACACCTGGCGCTCCTTGAGGAAACCCGTCTCGTCCATGACACCAAAGAGAGTCACGCCCTTCTCAACCGGAATACGGGCCTTGTGTTTGAGAAGCCTCAGCTCTCGTAGAACGACATGCTCAACAGCTGATCTGAGAAACTTGTCCCTGCGGTAATCGATGCCCATCCTGTCCAGCTGCTTCACAAGCTTGGGAAGACCCATGTTGACGCCAATGGTCTGGTATTCCAGGAATGTGCTGGTGTTGTGCGCGCTCGCCGTGACGCCACGCAACACGTTGAGCGCCTTGTTCTGCAAGTCAAAGAACCAATCATTCTGCGTCCCCATGTCTTCCAGGATTTTGATCATTTGACGATTCAAGACAAGCCGCAGGGGTTTCGACGATGTATCACAGATTCCAAGCTCTGTCAGATCGTTGCTTGGAAACTTCATCATCGATTCCTTTCGAATACAGAACGTCTTGCCCTCAAGTCTGGTGTCTAGTGAGAGCATCCCCTTGCAGCCGCCCCAGCGGATTTGAAGACAGGTTGGTGCAGCAGAACGCATGGGAAGATACATCCAAACATCTTCAAGGGCGTCCTGGGAAATTGTGCCAACGCCGTCACTGAACACTCGTGAGCCATCGGCGGTCTTGATGTCTGGGATGTGACGAGTCGTGATGCTGTTTTCGAAGAGTGGCACTGCGTATGGGGTCTCCGAGAATGCCTGACCGATTCGTGCCGCGCACTTGGCTGGGACTCGAATATCCTGAAAGTCTCCTAGAGCCTCTAATATCACAGAGATGGTCTGGCTCTGGTAGTTTCCATCAACGAAAGGAGACGCGAACCAAGCCGAGTGGGAACGTAACGAAGAATGAGAAAACCCGAGAAAGGTATACTTCCTCCCGGCAATGTCGATACCATCATCCATGACTTTTCGGTACCGACTGAAAGTGTCCTCATTGTCGATGCGAGGGTTAAAGTTCAAATCCTGGCCATCCTCATCACAGAATATGACTCGTAGAAACGAATCATTGTTGTCCGGAAACATTCTCAACACTCTGTTCTTGCTCTCAGCATCAGGGCCGTGGAGAAGTACTCGTGTAGGTGTGACCAAAGCCTTAAAGACCCAAACCTGGTGATCTGGTAGTTTGGATCCATAGATTCTGTCTCTCTGAGGATTCTCCTCCCGATACTTGTACTCCGCGTTCATAACCTCTGCCATGATGCTCACCACATCCAGCTCTGCGGGGTCGGTACCAGGACAAGGATAAGGGATTCGTTGAAGCAAGGTCTTCATCGCATCAGTCGTAACAGGGATAGCAACCCCCTTCTCCTTGGCGTCGATTGCAACCTGCTCTAGAATATCGCAGAGTTGTATCCCGCTAGAGGGGAGGATGTAATTGTTCCATACGAGAGCCTGGACCTGGAACAAGATGGCGAACGGAACAAGTCCAGTTGAGAGAAGGCGCTTGGCCCTTTCGATCAACTGATGTCGTCCCCGAACGGCGTTGGTGCTCGCATCTTCCATATAGCTCCATTGAACTGATGGAAGTTCGTGATTGGTGACGGCCAGGATATCTCGGGTCTTGATCTGGCGCAAAATGTTGTCAAAGTCGCTAGCATGCATCAAATAGACGCGATAGACGAGACAACTTGACGAGTATGCATGAAACAAGCCCCAATCGTTCATCTCCTGAGCTCGCTTCCACCTGACGTTCTTGTTGTCTGGCGTGCTATAGGGGCGATAGATGCGCGGTGGTTCTCGAAGAACCAGTGTGAATGAATTGTCACTGCGACTGGCGATGAGATCCTGGATTGAGTCGTTGTGAAAATCCAAGCGAGCACCAAAATGCTCCTCGATAGTCAGCCACTGTGGTGTGAACTTGCCCTTGGTGAGATCGGGCAAGGTCATGGCCACCTGTTCAACAAAAGTGAGTGTCTTTGCAGGACCACGAAATGTATTCCCACCGCAGCTGAGACCTCGAACCCAGAAGGCCTGTGTAGGTGCTTCCGGATCCCTAGCAGTCGACTTTGCCTTTTGTTCGCGATCATGCTTAAGGTGCGCGATGACGTGCTTGTCGATAGGTCGAGTACTCTTTTCCACATAGACTGCGGTTTTGAGGATGTAGAGGCGGGCAATAGCGCGCGGCTTGATCCTTGGCCGGAGTGGATTTCCTGGAGGCTCGTTTTCCTTTTGCTTGTCTGCCTCGGGCATGTACTTGCCATGCTTGTTCAAGAACTTCTGGCCGTCTGCGGCGCGGAGAAACTTGATCCAGCCTTGAGGTCTTCGTTTTGCCTTGTCGCATGTCCAATCTGAGATGTTTAGGGCTGTCATGAAAGGGGTCAACTCTCGCTTGAAGCTCTCTTCTGACAAGTCCTGTGGGACACTTTTGCAGAAA